AAAAAGTTTATTTACTAAAAAACATTTTTTTTCTGTGTAATTTATATAGGTTGTTCTTATTAGGAACATGTTTTCGCTGGTTGTTCTTATTGGGCACAGCGTTCCTAACAAGAACAGACGAATTATTTTTTAAAATTTAATAACTCTGCTATCATAAATCGAAAAAATCTGAACCTTGAAATCTTAACTCCATGATTAATAACAAAAATTTTTTGTCTCAGGAATATATCGATATTTTCAAGTTCAAATTAGAAAAAGTTCGTTTACTAAAAAAATTTTTTTTTCCCATATATTTTATATGGCCTGTTCTTATTAGGAACAGAGACCCTAATAAGAACAAATTCAATTACTCGTAAAATACCGCTAATTATAGGTTTAATTTACGAGATAATAAAATAATTTTTGCATCATTCGATGCAGCAAACATTTCTACACCAAGAAATGTAAAAAAAACTTTATAATTTTAAAAATTTGATCAGTAAAAAAGCAAACTACTGACATCTTTAAAAAGTCTGTTCTTATTGGGGACATCGACTGTAATGATACGCAATAATTATACTACAGCTTCAATGATTTTCCAATGGCTATATCATTCTCATGGTATTATTCGTTTTTAATTTAAATACGAAAAAAAAATCATCATTTTTTATAGATGCTCATTCTGATCCATGTGACGTGGTTACGAAAAGCTCAATTCTTTAAATATTTAGATACGAACAAATATTTCGAAAAGACGTACGACACGACGCTGTTTTATTTTTTTTTCATTTTTATTGGTTTCTTTATAGTTCCACAAAAAAATGCCAATAGGATGTGAGTGAGTGTCGGTGTCCTTTTCATTCGTCTCGCATCCACATCCATACCCACACCCTACTTTCTCAAAATTTTATTCCTTTCTGATGGCACCACAATCAAACAGGATCTTGATGATGATCAGTATGTCATGTGATCTTTGACCATGCTACTCCATCAAGATCTATCTTCGTTCAAAGAATAAAACAATTGAACAGAATCCTAATTATGATGATTCATATGTTGTATGATCTTTGATCGTGCTAACCTGGCAAAATCGTTTTTCTTTCAAACGACAAAATAATTAAACAGAGCCGTAATGATGATAATCCATCTATAATATAAGCTTTTATTAAGTTATTTTTTGAAACTCTTTGTCTGCGAAATAGTAAATAATGAAAATGAGCCTTCCTTATGATGGGTTATTTATAATGTTAGTTTTTTTCCTTGATAGAAAAAAGTGATTCGATTTGCTCTGCCTAAGATGATAGAACAGGATATTTGTTATGGCTATTGAATTACGATAAAATGCCGACAGAAGGATTAAAATTATGAGTTTTGGTTTCGAAAGCAGATTATAATCGAATAATCGTTTAGTTGAAGTCGTTCATGTGTGTTGTTATGGTATTTGATGACGAATAATGGATAATCAATCATACGCAATAAACTAAATAGTTGAGTTTCACTTTTGTGATAGACATTCAAGTTCTGCTTCATTTATGTACTCGAAACTGTTATTCCTTCAAGAAGAGTTATTTTTTAAGGTATCTGAACACAATGCAGTAAGAGCATTCGCATGTCAAATAATCATTGATTTTATGTTCTAGAAAGTAGTCTATTGGTCCACTGTCCATATATGTAAATAGTGAGATTATTTTAATCGTTTATATAACATATGATTATTAGTCGCATCAATAGCATCCGTCATTTATCAGTATGCCAAGTAATACGTGAATCTCTTTACATTATAAATGTTCAATGCTAGTAGAGAAAGCTACAATGTTTATATTGGCAAAAATTGTCTTCCTAGGACAGACGTATTGGAACAGAACAATGGAAATTAATTTTTCTAAACTTATTTATCTGTGGTTGATAAGCCAGCAAGGAAAACAAAATAAAGATTTGTGGAAAACGAATCTATCGAGTTCTTCGCGTTTCTGCCGCTTTATTTCTTGTTATCTAACGTATTTTCTTATTCTATGCAATTGACTTTTTTGTTTGATTTAGCGGTATCTATCTTTAATCGTTGAAAATTGGTGAGTTTTTGCATACTGCACAATCTTACACATGGTTTTAGAGGAGTAAGAATGATTTCTGATTGTGCAGGTTTCCTCATCATCGCCTGAACCGACTGTATAGGGGCTGTCGTCATCATCATATTCGTCCATTTCTAGGGCAATATCACATTCGATAAGTTCGGATGAATTTATCAGTAATTCGAATGCTGTCATGAGTTGACTAGCCTATGTCATGATCACGAGGAGATGGATCATCCACTTTGTAATCGGAATACTTTTCGTTCACAAGTTTATTACATAAATACATCACATTAGCAAAGTTAAACATGATGTATTTGACGGAATACATATATGCTGACGTCATAACAATGACAGAAAGAAAGAGGTAGTGTGGAAATAAGGACGTCATCTAACACAACTGAAGTGATCTTCTACTCTTTCTAAGAAAAATGAAAAACTACAGTAACATTTAATTCAAAGTAATCTTATTAAATCAATTCTTTCTGATTTTTCTGCATTATATATTTGTTTCTTAGTATCTCAATAAACAAAGTATTAGGTTGATAATTGAGCAATATACATTTGACATTTATTCGACAAACATTTTCTCATATCATCTTCTAACAGATAACACAATACTCAATCATCTGTTTGTCTTTTTAAACCACAGAATGTGTGCCACTGAATTATATCGCTACTCTGCAGCTATTTTTATAAAATTATCAAACGTATATCTGTGCCTTTCAAAGACAAGTTGATTAAGACATAAGTTATAAATATAATAATTATGATTAGATGAGAAACAGAAATAAACTCTAAATCAAAAACCGAAAACAAAGCACAGAAAGAAAAATAAAATGAAACATTTAGATCAGTTTTAGCAGAGATTTAAAAGAATTTTTATATTGTCTATACCATATGTTGCGACAGCGATGTCATCCCAACGATCATTGTTCAAATCTTTAAAGACGATCCAAGTTGGTCGAGAATCATAGCCTAATGGATACCATGTTTGGTTGGTAAAAGTTCCATTATCATAACCAAAAAGAATGCAAATATTGTTCGCACCGAAATTCGCCACTGCTATATCTTTTTTATAGTCTCTGTTAAAATCACCTATGGCAATTGACATCGGCTGAGAATCATAACCCATTGAATAAGTCGTTAAAGTAGAAAATTTCCCATTACCTAAGCCAATAAATACGACAATATTATCAGTCATAGAGTTTCCAACGATAATATCAGTTAGAGAGTCATTATTGACATCAGCGACAGCTAATGACAAGGGATGAGAATCATCACCAGTCGAATATGTTGTAACATTGGAAAACATTCTGTTTTCATTTCCAAAAAGTATGCCAATATTGTTGGTACCGTAATTGGCGACAGCAAGATCTAAGTGACTGTCATTATTGAAATGACCAACAGCCAATGCAGAAGGACGAGCGCCTTGACCAACGTCGTACGACGTTGTCTGTCCTGTGAAAGGTTTAGTACCATTTGCAAGATATACTTGGATATAGTTATTGCCATAATCAGCCAAAGCGAAATCCAAGTGAGTGTCATTGTTAAAGTCACCAACAGCAACGTAACCTACAATAGAAGCAGTCTGTTCTAGGGGAACTAACGATATACTGGCAAATGTTCCGTCATTGTAACCAAAAAAGATACCCACATATTGACTATCTTCGTCGGTAACGATGATATCCAGTTGATTGTCATTATTGAAGTCACCAACTTCCATATGCTCTGGATGCAAACTAGTACCAGTTGTAAACATGCGCAAGTTTCCAAAAGTACCGTTGTCATATCCATAGAGTATAAAGACATTATTTGTGCCGTAATTTGTAATAGCAAGATCTACTTTTCCGTCTTTGTCGAAGTCCCGAGCGATAGCAGACTGTGGAGAAGAATCAGCACCAGTTGAGAAAGTCATTTGTGCTGTAAAACTTTTGTTGCCGTATCCCAGAAATACACCCACCTGATCGATTCCTGTGTTAGCAACTATTATATCTAGATGAGTATCGTTGTTGATATCGAAAACAGTAACCGAATGCGGGCGAGAACCTTTCCCAGTTGACAGTGCTATTACGTCTTGAAAAGTCCCGTTTCCATATCCAAAGAATACACCTATAGTGTTTGCGCCATAATTTGCTACAGTAACATCGAGACAATTGTCATGGTTAAAATCACCTACAGCTATTGAACGTGGAGCAGTATCAGGACCAGCTGAATACAATATAGGATTTGCAAAGGTTCCATTTCCGTGTCCTAATACTATACTAATACTATTAATACCCCGTTTCACTTCTATTATATCCAGTTGATTGTCGTTGTTGACATCACCAACAGTGACCGCGCGAGGTTGTGAAAAGTGCATATCTGAATATGTACTTAATGATGTAAAAGTGCCATTACCATAGCCGAGAAACACACCCAACATACCCCAGTAATAAAGTGTAGTCACTATATCTAAATGACCATCGTTATTGAAATCACCAATGGCTAACGAATCTGGACTTGAATCCTTGCCAGCGTTACATGACTTTTGGTTTTTAAAAACTGTGTAGTCCAGTCCAAAAAATATGCCGATAGTATCTGCTTCTGTATTAGCGACGGCAAGATCTAAGTATTTATCATTATTAAAGTAACCAATTGCAAGAGCACTCGGCATTGATCCAGAACCAGTGAAATATGTCAGTTTTGTTGAAAACGTTCCGTTTTCATTTCCCATAATTATAATTATGCTGTCATCGTTACCGTCGGTAACAGCAACATCCAACCAATTGTCTCTATTAAAATCATCAATAATAACATCGCCTGGATTAGAACCAACACCAATTGAATAGATTGTTTCAGTGGCAAAACTTCCATTACTATATCCAAGAAATATACCGAGACTTTCATTTCCTGAATTGGTAACAACAATATCCATTTGTGTATCATTATTTAGATCGCCAATAGCAATAGAGTACGGATGAGAGCTAAAGCCCGTTGAATAAATTGTTTGACTTTGGAAATCTGCATAATAGTCTCCTAATAATATAGGTTTATCATTAATGAGCCAATTTGCAACTGTAGAATTCGATTGATTAATATGATTAACTTGTGAATCATTATCAGTTGCATTGATTGCTCGATTTGGAGAATTTTCAATAGGATGTCCAAGTAATATAGCAACATTATTGGTTCCGTAATTGGCTACAGCAATATCTAATCGATTATCTTTATTGAAATCACCAACGGCAATCGAGTATGGTTTCGAATTTAAACCAGTCAAATAGATTGTTTGATTATCAAAATATCCTTGACCATTTCCAAGCAATATACCGACATTATTCGTCAAGGGATTTGCGACAGCAAGATCGAGTGAACCGTCGTTATTATAATCAGCAACACTAACCCAAAGAGGCCCAGAGCTTAAGCCTGTTGAATATAACAGCTGTTTATCGAACCTACCATTACCAAATCCAAAAAATATCCCTATATTGTTAGTGGCAGAATTAGAAACGACAATATCCAAGTGAGTATCATTGTTTAAATCAGCGACTGTAACCGACGACACATGAGATTTATCTCCAGTCGAATAAAATGTGAATAATGTAAAACTACCATTACCAGAGCCAAGGAAGATTCCTATGTTACCAGTGCCATAATCGGCAACGGCAACATCTAAGTTATGGTCGTGGTTGAAGTCTCCTGCATCTATGCCAAGCAACTGTGATTGATGTCCGAAAAGATACCTCATTAGATTTCCAAAAGTTCTATTTCCATATCCTAGAAAAATACCTATATAGCCACCGACCTGATCGGTAAAGACAATATCAGGATAATTATCATTGTTGAAATCATTAACAGTGATCCATCTTGGCGATGAAGGACTTCCAGTGAAATATGTTACCACTGGGGTAAATGATCCATTACCATATCCGTATAATATTCCTAGAGTTTCGTCATTAAAATTAGCGACAACAATATCTAGTCGATGGTCATTATCTAAATCACGGAGGACAAGTCCACGCACATCAGAATTATTCGCAGATGGATATGTTATTTGTTCTCGAAAACTTCCGTTTCCATAGCCAAGAAATACACCAAGAGTGCCAGTGCCAGAGTTAGCAACAACAAGGTCAAGATCAGTGTCGTTATTAATATCTTCAGTAATGATATAGTAAGGAATTGAACCGACTCCAGTAGAATATGCTGTTGGACTTTCTGCTTGTATCAAAACATATCCAATAAGCATCAATACGTTGTTCGTGCCAAAATTAGCAACAGCGATATCCGATTGATTGTTGTTGTCAAAATCACCAACAATGATTGCGAACGGCATTGAATCAGCGTCGGTTGAATGCATTGTAGGTATTGCAAAACTTCCATTACCATATCCAATAAGTATGCTGATATTGTTTGTATCATGATTAGAAACAGCGATATCTAGTTCATTATCTTGATTGAAATCGCCAACCATGATCGATTGTGGACGGGATCCAGGAGAAATCGAATATGTCGTTTGCGATGCGAATGTTCCATTTTTGTAACCAAGAAATATACCAACATTGTTCTTACCAGAATTGGCCACGGCAATATCTAATTGTCCATCGTTGTTGAAATCATTAACAGCGATCGAATAGGGACCAGATTGCGGACTAGTTGAATAGGTAATTTGTGGTGTAAAATTTCCATGTCCATATCCAAGAAATACGCCAACATTGCTGGTACCGTAGTTGGCTACTGCAATGTCTAGATTGTAATCATTGTTAAAGTCATCAATAACAATGAAATAAGGAAATGAATCGTAGCCAGTAGAATATGTTATCGGGTCTCGAAAAAAACCATTTTCATATCCAAAAAGTATGGCTATATCGTTCGTACCGTTATTGGCAACGACAATATCTAGCCAATGATCATTATTTAAGTCACCAACAGCTATTGAGACTGGACGAGAAGCACCAATAGAGAATGTTGTTTGATTTGAGAAAGTACCATTACCATAACCAAGAAATATCCCTATATTGTGACTATCATAATTAGCAACAGCAATATCTAAATGAGTATCATTGTTAAAATCACCTGTAGCAACTGAAATTGGTCTAGAATGATCTTCTGTTGAAAATGTTCTCTGTGATGCGAAAGTTTTATTCCCATAATTAAGGAATATGCCAATACTATTTGTGCCGGAATTAGCGACAACGATATCGATTAAGTTATCATGATTAAAATCACCAGCAACAAGAAAACATGGATTCGAATTATGATTAAATGAATCACCATCTATTATTGCTTGAAAGTTTAATTGACATGATGCATCTAAAGAATATGGTTGAAATAAATCATATACTTGAGAATATCAATCAGTAAGCAATAGCACGACCTTCATCAAGAAACTGATATACAAGTAACGTTCGTTCGGGTGACTCGTTTTCTCTCCACTGAGTATTCCACTGTTTCGGTATTATACACGGCTTTACGTTTCTCAACAAAACTAGTATCCAACGCTTCAAAAAGAGCTGGCGTGAGTGTGAATATTCATATTTGCATCAATGAAGTTGTGCACAATGCTATGCATTTCCGTCTGACACTTTTTGTCATGAATTCATCCAATCAAACTGATACCATCAGAGTAATAACTAGCAGAAATCTTAATGCAACACATTGAGGCAGCAGTATTCACATGCCACGAGAAAACAGACTATATTTTGAACTTACAGAGAGAATCAATAGAGAAAGCACGTTTGTGACACAAGCGTAGAAACGTACCATGCTCCATGAAAACTCGAACAAAAAAACTGTATAGTTACTAGCACATCAACTGACAATGTCATTTTGCAGTGTCCGCTACAAAAATACGAGTTTAGCTGAATTGCTACATTTAAAAAAACCATATTTGATTAGACCTATGGTCATAATCCATCACTTGAGTGACTTTCCTACTCAACGAAGTCATTGAATTAAACAAATAATTTGAATATACCCGAATAAATTTACTTCCAATTCAGCAAACCTATATTCTTTGAGTGATGCTTTCCGCTAGTCGATCGTCAGCATCCCTGCGAGACGCCACTCATGACTAACTGCTGCCAGGTTTAATTCTATTCCTCCATCAGATCACTCTGTTTGATTTACACTCTACTTGGTCCCCGACTTCGCTTAGTTCGAAAAACCATTACGTATTTAACACGACAATTCTTGCATGTGAAATTCCAAAACAGAAACTTTGTTGTGAACTATATGCTTATGTCTTTAATTTCATCGTCTAGCTCACCAATCAGAGATTCATTGAAGTTCCTCAGTAAGGAAATCTTAGCGTAGTATTCTCAAAAAAACGTCTAGCTTTTATGTAGACCGTTTCTGAAGCAAATACACAGTGGGCTTGCAATAGGGGCGACTAGTCGTTCGTCGACGCCCCTCTGAAGCGTCACTCACAGCTAGCCGCTCCATTATTTGAACGCATTCAACAAATAGCTGCTTATTCTCTATTTACCATAGAAAATGTGACCTCATTTTCATACATCTATTTATATTACCTTCCAGTCAGTGTGGAAAGAAATTCCATGAGTGAGAACTTCTTCTTAACAAAAATTTGAATAATCGAAAAGTAAGCTCGAAAATATGCAATGCGAGTAGGCTTAGATGATATCAATCATGTCGCCTTGACTAAAAGTTGAATTTCAATATCAGGGGTACTGTTGAAATAAATGTAGGCGTATGGCTGTGTTGTTGATCTTGTTTTGCCTTACACCAATTCCACATCCTGGAAAAATCTCATTTATATTTGACCTTAAAAAGATTACCGAGTCTGTAATACGCGAACACATTTGAATATGTTACTCTCCCAATGACTGCCAGACCACGAACTCATTTTATTTCATACCACCCAATGTTCAATCCAGCGAAAAATCACTGTTTTCCTAAAAAGCTTTTCCCACATTATGAAAATATAGCTAGAAATTTCCAGGAATCGATTAAAGATTTGGATTCCCGACTCCGATCTACTTTCGCCACCTTTTATAAAAGATCGTTATTTTCGCAAAAGACCCTCTCTCTAACCGAAAAAAGGTAAAGTTCAAAATTTTGAAAAACTCACATTAGATTTGGATTCTCCGATCTTGGTTTGCTAGCATCAACTTTTATGATGATCTTTAATTTCATGACTTTTGACCTGCCACAAACAGACAGATAAACTCTTTTTTTTTCTTATTACCCTCCCTTCAGTCAAGGTAACATAGAGTGAAGATACAGTCAATCTATATACTTTCTGAAAAGTATCTTGAGAGATTCTTTTCAATAATAATCGAATACAATGTTGTACTATCTGTTAGATTACAGAAATCTGATAAAAACTACAATACTACATTAATAATTATTGTCAATAGCCGCTTGAAAAAGCTAGTTAGAAGAAAATATAAAAGATATATAATAAAAATCGTGATTACAGCTGCATGATTAATGATATATTTAATATGCCTCGTAGATGTAATAATGATATTGTTTTCGAAATAGGCTTTTCTATGATCAAAAAGCCTTTTCAGAAATGAGTAAGAAGGTATTGTCCAACATCAGTACTGGATATACCGATTTTTCCTTTCGAACAAATGAAAATTAATTTAACCGATTTTTTTGTCATTAATATGCAGAATTTAATTTTTTTTCTCACTTCTTTTGTGTAGAAGTAGTTGTTATTTTCTCAATGTAATCTTGTTTTTCACAGATACTAAATAGTTTACTTTGTACTTGATATTTTAAGTAGATATTACTAAAAGTATCAACTATGATATTGAGTATCTGGTCATTGTTTCTAAGTAGAGTCTAGACTTAATGAGTATCTACCTTTTTGTTGCGATTTTAAAATGAAGTCAAAAATGGAAGTATTTATAATGAATTTCTTTTGAATCCCTCTTTTCCAACTTTTTAGTTGATATTTTGAAGATTAACATACGTAATTTTCGTGCTGTTAAACACACTACCAGAATACCAAAAGTCATGACTAGAAGTGTGAATAAAGCAGATCCAAAAATAGCAACGCAGGACCATTTTTTCGTCAAGTAAATATTTGTCCTGATAAAGAAATATGTGGATTAGTTTAAATTAAAAGAATACAAACATACTCTGATGTAAAATGCTTATCAGAAGTTGTCAAATTGCCAGTATTATTAACAGCATGTCCTGAAGTTGTTAAGCGGGTGGTTGAATTTGAATTTTCTTGTAATTCTGGAAAACAAAGCAGCTCAGGAGATCGATATTCACCCGAAAAGTCTTTATTATTCATTGACATTATCTCAGTCTGCAATAGACAACATTTTATAGTTTTGAAATTAAGGAATAGTGTGAACTAAGAAAAAGGATTGAAAAGAATAAGTATTATAGTTCGATGAAAATAAAATCATGATTGTTTTATTCGATTTTGAGATGAACAACAGCATTAATAGAAAAAATGAATTAATGAATTTGATCTGAAAAATTTAAAACATTCAGTGAAAATGGTATTTTATTTACGATCCCCTACTGAAAAATACTCATCAAGTGAGTACGACTGTCCATTATGAGTACTCAATGCAGTGTTTAGTCTCGTTTTATCCAGAATATGTAACAAAACACTTATGCATTGGCATGTGCGAAAATATATTAAAGTTGTGTAATGAATTGTTATTTCAAGAATAGAAAAATAACTTGTCATTTTTAACTGTTCATTTCTGGAATAAGACTGAATATTGTTTTTAAATATAAACGACAATTCGTTTAATTTTACTTCCGAAATTTTAGATGACATATTCTTCGAGGTCAATATACGATTTTTTCAGATTAATAATGATAATTAATGAAATAAAAGATAACTGATAACTTTTGTTACAAATCGATTAAAATTTAATACTATGAAGTCATATACATCGTACTAGAGACACTTAGTCTTTTTTTATATTTTTTGTTTTTATACGTCAGCAAAGTTAGCGCCCAATTCAATATTTCCTGTCCTTATTCGTTTGCTTATCTGTGCTATAGTTAACCAACTAGAACAATAACACATATAAGGAAACGAATCCGGACAGGAAATATCGAATCGGGTGCTAACTTTACTGATGTGTTTTTTCCAAACATTACTAAATGCAATGTTATTATTATTCAGTTTAAGATGTCTGTTTATTTAAATTTATCTATACCCTTTCTATAAAAATATGTAGGCATAATGTAATATCTTCACTTCTCAAATTTTTTATTATGTACGCCACGCCTGTGTTCTTTATTATTTGTTTTTAATTAAATAAAACGTACGTGAAGTTATCACCAGGTTCGAGTTTCTGAAGCCCGGATTTGCACAAGAACTTGTTCCAAACGTCCTCTTCTTGTTCCAAGTAGAACTCGACGAGCTCTATCGATTGATGTAATCAAATTTCCAGAACTCAAACTTGTCGCTTACAAAATCGATTTTTCATATTTTTCCCTATGGGATCCAGCGACCTTGAAAAGTATTTTCAATTCGGATTCCTTCAGGAACTTGTTCCAAATTTCATATTCTTGTTTCAAGTAGAACTTGGCAAACTCTATCCAACGGTATGCTCAGATTTTCCATAATCCAAATTATAATCTTCAGGTTGTGTACAGCGCCATCTACGGTCCCAAAAATTACACTTTGCGCTGTGCTAAGTTTGATTATACCATTGGATACAGCTCGTCAAGTCCTACTTGGAACAAGAATAGGAGATTTAGAACAAGTTCGTGAGCAAAACCGGGCTGGAAAAACTCGAATCTGGTGATAACTTCACCTACATTTAAATAAAAGGAATATAATACAACAGTGCTGAACAGAATATAGACCTATGATTATTTTACAAAAACTGTGTATGAGTACTCACAAAATACTCAATATCCCAAGGTGAGTACTCAGAAGCTATGAGTACTCACGGCATTTTCTAACGTGATTACTTTCACTAGGGTGAGATTCTAAATTCTCGAATGAACATTATTTTTTCTATTCTTTTGTAACACAACGGCTTTTTTTAAAGCATATTAATCATAACGGAAGCGTTATTTTATATTGAACTTTTTGAAGATGTTTTAAAACATGTACAAGAAAGAAAACCGTACAACTGTCATATAACTTTATATATTATTACAGTATAGATTTGAGCAAAAATATTAACAAATCAAAAAAAATGACGGATATTTGAGAGTAGAATGAAAACATAAATAAATAATCTTTGATAATCGTTTTACTAATAACGTAGATTGAAAAGAAAGGTTTCGTATTTACTTCTGTTATGAATTTACGATAAATTAACATATTTAGAGTCGATATCCCTAAAGCGAACGGACATCTTGGAGGTCTCCATTGTAATTCTGATATTTCTGTCATTTTTCATCATAAAATAATTATTTTTATATCACGGGAATGAAAACAAAATTCT